TTGGCCACAGCAATCAGGGCAGAAAAAGAAGTAAAAGGAATCCAGATAGGAAAAGAAGAAGTGAAACTCTCTCTGTTTGCAGACGACATGATCCTCTACATAGAAAACCCTAAAGACTCTACCAAAAGATTACTAGAGCTAATCAACGAATATAGTAAAGTTGCAGGATATAAAATTAACACACAGAAATCTCTTGCATTCCTATACATTAACAATGAGAAAACAGAAAGAGAAATTAAGGAAACAATACCATTCACCTACCTCACTTTAATAAGAGAACTCTCTTTTTTTCTGATTTATACACACCTAAGTGTAAAGTTGTTATTTGAAAAGAAGACATCCCTATAGAGCAGTTTGAAAACCACTAAAATCAGTTCAGTTCAGTCACTCAGTCGTGTCCGACTCTTTGCGACCCCATGAACCGCAGCACGACAGGCCTCCCTGTCCATCACCAACTCTCGGAGTTCACCCAAACCCATATCCACTGAGTCGGTGATGCCATCTAACCATCTCATCCTCTGTTGCCCCCTTCTCCTCCTGCCCCCAGTCCCTCCCAGCATCAGGGTCTTTTCAAATGAGTCAGCTCATCACATCAGGTGACCAAAGTACTGGAGTTTCAGCTTCAACATCAGTCCTTCCAATGAACACCTAGGACTGATCTCCTTTAGGATAGACTGGTTGGATCTCCTTGCAGTCCAAGGGACTCTCAAGGGTCTTCTCCAACACCACAGCTCAAAAGCATCAATTATTCTGCACTCAGCTTTCTTTATAGTCCAACTCTCACATCCACACATGACTACTGGAAAAACCATAGCCTTGACTAGATGGACCTTTGTTGACAAAGTAATGAATGTCTCTGCTTTAAAACAGATCGCCTCTAATGTCTTCCCCAGTCCCGAGGGTCTCCATACAAGACACCATCAATATGAAGGTAACTACAGTAACCACTCATCAACCTTTATGAGGGGTGCAAAGTACTGGGTTGGTCAAAAAGTTTGTTTGGGTTTTTCCGTAACATCTTGCAGAAAAACCCAAACAAACGTTTTGGTCAATTCAATAGCTATCATCGTAATAAGGATCTCAATGAAGAAGAGCATTTGGCATGATCAAGGTCTTAGAGAAAATACAGGACTGGGAAAAATACAAATCACATTAAAACAGTAAATGGAAGTACTAGAATTACCTTTTCAAAGAAATGCAGATTAACCTCATTTGACACATTTTCTGATAAGACATCACTGCTGACTCACCTCTGTCAACTATTTCAAAGACAACACACTTACACAGTTATACTCTGATGCCTGCGGCAGAGCAGTTAACAGCCTGGGCTCCACAGCCAAACGCAACAGTTCAAATCTCAGCTCTTCCACCTACTAGCTACATGACCTTAGGAGAACCACATAAGGCTCCATGTTTCATCATAAAATGAGAAGCATAATGTCTACCTGACAGAGCTGGGCTGAGCATAAAATGAGGTAAAGAAGAGAAGAATTTAGAACACTGTCTGGTACTTAGAGAAAACTCAGTCAATGCTTACAATGGGTGTACTTCGCACACGCAAACATGTACAGCGAACATGTACCCAAATATGTACAGCGAACATGTACCCAAATATGTACAGCAAACATATTTACACCCAAGTTGTCTTATACAGCCCAAATCTTGTCTTAAAGTTTGTGAACTTATCCTTACTGGCTTGAAATTTAACCTCTTTTACAATGACATTTTTTTTTTTTTTTTTTTTTACAGTCTTGGCCAAAGCCTTATTAAACCATTTGTCCTTTTCATTGCATTTCCATATTACCATGGTGCATAAGCACACATTTTTATGTCCCTGGTCTTCAATGCATTTATTGAATGAACCCCACAGACTCAGTTATATCATCTGACGGAAGAGGAAACATTAATTATTTTTGTATTCTTGGGTCCTGATCTGAAACGAACTTGTGTTTAAAAAATCTCATATTGTAAACTTTTATTATAGAAATATGAAACATCATTATCTAAAGACCATTGTTGCCCAAAACTAGGGCTGGCAAGAAACCTTCATACCATCAGTCATTAAAAAGAAATATTCTATGAGCACCATGATTTTCCTTAGTACTATGGAAGGACACAGAAATAAATGCCAGACAGGTAGTAATACTGACAAATGAGCTTTGTTTTTTCTTTTTTTTACTTCTTTCCCTCCAGCTAAGACTCTTTTCTAACTAAATAACTAAAAGTCATATCACAAGAAAAAAAGATAACTCGTCTTTGAATAAACAGAGCTTGCCTGTGACCTTCTATTACCTTTCCATATATACATGGAAAATTCCCACACAGGAAAAATGAATACTACTGTGTATGAACAGCCACAACCACCTCTTTTTAGCTCTATCACCTACTTCCTCATCTTCCCACCTTACACTTTTAGTGCCAGAAAAGGAGGCTTGGATCAACAATGAAACACCCCAAGGTCATTGTTTAAGTGACAATACCAGTAAAGTGACTGCAGACTTCAGCCAAGACTAAGCTATCATTCCACAGCGAAACACAGTAACCAACACAGAACAGCCCACAGTGAATACACAGCTTGGAAATATAGAAAGATAACAGTCTCCCAGGCCACAGAAATCCAAGTTGCAATTAACTATTTTTTAAATCATTTTCTTAAACGATTCTTTCCATGAAGTCCAATAATTCCAATAACTTACCGGTCAGCAGCTTCCACGTCAAAGCAAAACCTTCTGTCAATGGAGTCAGTATGTCTCCTGGTACATTCTTTCAAAAAGAAGACCTCTCCATCCCCCTGCAGAGAATCATTTTAAGCATTTTCAGACACTACAGTATAAACATACACAGAGTTAAGTATCCTATACTTGATGGGGGGGAAGGAGGCAAGGTTCAGATTTTAGGTTCCTCTATTCTATTCTCTTTTGAACCAGTTTATTTAGAACTGTCGCCATTTCTGTCACTCATCTTTTCTTAAGATTTTTTAGACCCTGCTTCCATTACAGTAACATTAAACCAGACCTTTTGAGTGCTAATTTTAAAAGGTGGATTAACAATATAGTTTCCACATATCTATATTTGTTATTCTTATTGCCCTCTTGTTAAAAAAAAGAAGACCATGTGTTTGCATTTCACATTACATTATACCACATGAAACAGCCCACAGGTAACCATTTCTGACCTACAAAAACTTCAATTCCATAGGAATCTACATAAAAGTACACGAAGGACCTTGGATCAGCCATTGTGATCACCTAAAGCTAGAACCATTCATCTAGGTGTATGTGTGCTCAGCTGTGCCCAAGTCTTTGCCCACTAGGCTCCTCTGTCCATGGGATCATGCATGGCAAGAATACTGGAGTGGGTTGCCATTTCCTTCTCCCGGGGATCTTCACAACACATCTATGTGTTTTGCTGCTTCCTCAGTGAATCATCCTGAATTTACCTTTACTGAGTGTTCAGTTAAATATGGTACCATTTTATCCCAGATAAAGCTCTTTAAGAGCTTTAAAAAGCAGCAGAAAACAGGAGACAGAAGCAGTGCAAAAACAGGTTCTCAGTAAGAAACTGTAAGGAGTCTGAGAAACACTTCTGCAATATTTTAGTATTTTCTGGAATGTGAAGATCTCTAATATTAAACCAGCATTCAGATGTTAAAAACATTCAAAATACCACAGTCATCATATTTTTAATGCATTTATCATTTGGGGCTAAAACAGAAAGCCACCACTAAGCAGATGTGTTGGGGACTTGATCGGCTCTGATAGGAAACTCGCACTCCAACCTCATGCTTACTTTGTCATTAAAGAGAATGGGGAGGGGAGGGGGTGTTCAAGAGGGACGGTTCGTATGCACACCTGTGGCTGATTTACGTCGATGTATGGCAGAAACCGACACTGTAAAGCAATTATCCTCCCACTAAATATAAAATTTTTTAAAACTGGAAAAAGTGTACAGAGATACACAAGTTAATCCATATTCATCCTTTCACTACAACTTCTGATCATATCAGTGGTCCTCAGAGGTATAAAGTAATCACGAGCATTTGGCTGATGAGTTGTGCACAGTTGCTGATCATTCCTGGAGTTTGCTCTTTTATTAGATTTGATGCTTCACTTACCAACAAATTTTGCCTTCTCTGCATCTGATATGTTCTTAACAGATTATTCCTGATTGTATCCACTAAACTTTAGTTACATTTGACAAAAATAAATGACTGTGATCTTTAAAAAAGAAAGAAAAGAGCACACAATAACCAAAAAACCCATCCCCCTCCAGGGGCGACATCCTCGCTTCCTCTTCTTTACCATGGCCACGATTTTACATGTCTATTTCGATATCACAAAAATGTGTTTCTACTACAAGCAGCTTTAAATAGTTTTCAGGAAGATGCAAAGTATGTGTAAACAGAAGTGAACTTGGGTTAATTCTGTATTCACAGGAGCAAAATTATGCCCATCCACCCAGCAAGCAATGAATTAACCTTAAAATGTGTCACCAGTTACAGTCAATGTTAGTGAGAGGAGCTCTGTGTTGACTATTATTGTTGCTAAGAGCTACAGATTCTGCTTTAAAACAAAGACCACCTTTTCCACCCAGACAGCTCCTGTGGGCTTCTCGCATACATTTCCTGTATCACAAGTTGCTGTGGTGTTTATTTCTATAGGAGGTGTAAACTAAATGGTGAGTGTCTAAGTGAGAAGGTTAAAGTCTGAATGAAAAGCAGCAAACTTCATTATAGATCATCTACTCTGTAATCTTTTCATTTATGTGAATTTATGTGTGCACGTGGCTCAGTCAAAAAAGACTCCATGAGAGACGTGGGTTCAATCACTGGGTGGGGAAGATTCCCCTGGAGGAGGAAAATGACAACCCACTCCAGCATTCTTGCCTGGGAAATCCCGTGGACAGAGGGGCCTGAGGGCTATCCCCCATGGCGGGGATAGCAAGAGTCGGACACGACCTAGCATCTAAACCAGCACCACCATGTGGACACACCAGGCCTTCCCCGTAAATCCTAAGCAGTCAGCCCACTGAGTCAGGAACACATGCTGAAGGTAGTAACTGTATCTTCCAGTAACAGGGACATCAAATAATTCTTAAAAAAAAAAAAATTCTGACAATAAAAATCCATGCCAACAGAACGTCCAGTAGCTAAGACTCCACGTTTCCAAGGCAGGGGGCCTGGGTTCAACCCCTGGTCAGGGAACTGAAGCCCACAAAGCCACATGTAAGAGATCCGCATGCCAGGACTAAGACCTGGTGCAGCCAAATAAATACATATTTTTAAAATATGTTTTAAAAAACACATGCCAGCAATTCAGAAAACACTGGCCAATTTTATTTAGGAAAAAAAGACAATTTTTTCATTCTAAAAACAAAACAGAAGGTATTTATCATTAGGGAATGGAAACACCATTAAATTGACGCCCTCGAAGACCCCCTCACAGACAGTACAAAGTATAAAAAGCAAACACTTACAAGCTTCCCCCCGGATCTGTGCTCAAACGGGATCATGGTGAACTTCTTGGCCGCTTTCCGATACATGCAGTAGTGTTTGACCCAGCTGGAACCGAATGGAGGAGGCCCTTCAACAAGAAACAGAACTTTACACGTTTCCTTATAAACAGATATGCAGAATTCTATATTGCTAAAGAGAAAAAACCCAAGAAATGGCAACTAATACAGCTCAAGGTAACAAATCAGCAACACAGCTTATCTAAGACAAGGGGAAAACTAGGGGAAATAAGAGGGCGCATAGTGACAGTTTGAGAAAAGGTCCTAACAGTTCTCAGCAACAAATACATAATTTAAAGACATATTTTTCATATAATCTGCTAGACTGTTATCTCATACATGAAAATCTCCTAATGTTAAACTATACTTTTTGTTTGTGTCTATGTATGAATAGCTCATGAGAATTTCAAGAATTCCACCAGATATATGTGATGGTTTTGGATTCAATTTTGGCCTCTCAAAATAATAGAGCTGTAGAATCACAGTGCAGAAAAGCATGTAGACTATAAATCGATCTCGTGTTTTAAGCCCACTAAAGCACCTTGTAAGCAGCTATCCTTACTAACGATGTCAAAGTTAAACTTTAAAATAAAGTATGAGATCTCCCTGATGGTCCATCGGTTAAGAATCTGCCCGCTGATTGCAGGGGACAAGAGTTTGATCCCTGGTCCGGGAACAAAGATCCCACATGCCTCAGAGCAACGTGCTGTAACAGAAGCCTGTGTACCACAACTAAGCAGGAGCCCCCAACTCACCATAATTAGAGAAAGCCCACTAGCAGCAACAAAGACCCAGAGCAGCCAAAAGTAAAAATAAATTTAAATGAAGTATGAAGAACATAAGAGGGAGTTGTCCACATATGCACCAGAACATTTCTGGAACCACTTTTTACCTCTTGCTTAGTCAGTATTACAACTATCAGATGTCTTAAGAGAAAAGGATCCCAAGTCGGGAGACCTAGAATGGTCCCATCACAGCAAAGGAAAAGTGAGGTCCCATTCAGTTTGATAATTTTTACTTTAGTCAAGAAAGGACATTAAAATTTTTAAAAGTCAATACTTATTATCAACATCATCGCATCTGAAAACAAATAAAGCTTAAAAATATAGATTTTTATACCTAAAAATCAAAAAGGACAAACTTAGGAGCAGGGAGAAGGACTCAATTAAAAGAAATGCATTTAGCTTTAGGAAAAATGAATTACATCACCTTGGGTGAAGGGGAGATGAAACGGGTCACTAGACCACAATAAATCTCATCTCAAACCATCTTTAGGGCTGGCCCAGAGTTTGTGAACCCCTGGTATGAGTGTGTGTGTGTTATCAATAGCAAGCATACGTACTCTGTTCTACGGTTCATAAAAATACTGCATAGGTATTTCATTCAACGCCAAGAAAAATACCTCAAGAGAGGATAATTATATTACTGTCTTTTTAATCTAAAAAATCTCAGGCTTAGACTAAATGCCTGCAAAATGGCAAGCCAAACCTCAGAATCTCTTGCCCAGATATCATGGTGCTTCACTAATTAAGCTGCCATCCCCTCCTGACTCCACCGGACCCCACTCAACCAGCCCTAAGCACAGAGATTAGCGACGGCTTCTCACACTGTCCAAGCTTCAGGCAATATGACAGAGAGGGTGCAACAGACTCTGTGTGTGTGTGCATACGTGTGTGTGTGTGCATACGAGTATGTGTGTGTGTGTGTGTGTGTGCGTGTGTGAAAGTCGCTCAGTCGTGTCCAACTCTTGGCGACCCCATGAACGACAGCCCGCCAGGCTCCTCTGCCCATGGGATTCTCCAGGCCAGAGTACTGGAGGGGTAGCCGTTCCCTCCTCCAGGGCATCTTCCCGACTCAGGTCTCCCGCACTGCCGGTGGATTCTTTGCCATCTGAGCCCCCAGGGAAGCCCAGCACAGACTCCAGGCTCAGAAAGTTCCAGCCTTGAGGCGCAGGACCAAAGGAGCATCATTAACCCTCGGCGCGTCTGTGTTCTCACTGGTAAATGGGGTGATTACAGCACCTTACAATTCACAGGGCTTTTTTAATGCACTAAATAAAACAAGATGGATAAAGAGTTTAGCACAGTGCCTGGCATACAGCTAATAAGTGAAGAATTCTGTCACTGTGTTTTTTTCAGTCCAATTTCAGCCCCATCTCTCTCAAAGTCAGTAAGTTATCCAGCAATTATAAGTCTAAAAAAGCTTCTTGTGATTTTTTTCACTTGACTGTTAAGAAGATCTAAAATATTAGAGGGGGAGGAAAGGATTGAGAACTTGGGATTAGCAAACTAGTAATACACACGTATGGATGTGAGAGTTGGACTGTGAAGAAAGCTGAGCACTGAAAAATTGATGCTTTTGAACTGTGGTGTTGGACAAGACTCTTGAGAGTCCCTTGGACTGCAAGGAGATCCAACCAGTCCCTCCTAAAGGAGATCAGTCCTGGGTGTTCATTGGAAGGACTGATGCTGAGGCTGAAACTCCAATACTTTGGCCACCTCATGCAAAGAGCTGACTCACTGGAAAAGACCCTGATGCTGGGAGGGATTGGGGGCAGGAGGAGAAGGGGACGACAAGAGGATGAGATGGCTGGATGGCATCACCGACTCAATGGACCTGAATTTGAGTAAACTCCGGGAGTTGGTGATGGACAGGGAGACCTGGTGTGCTGAAATTCATGGGGTCACAAAGAGTCGGACACGACTGAGCGACTGAACTGAATATACAAAATGGATAAACAAGGTCCCATTCATTGTATAGCACAAGGAACTATATTTAATGTGATGTGGTAAATCACAATGGAAAAGAATATGAAAAAGAAAACAAATATATGTATAACTGACTCACTTTGCTGTAAAGCAGAAATACAACATTATAAATCAACTGAACTCCAGTAAAAAAATTTTTTAATGAAATATTCACTCTATACACAGTTCAATAGCTGTTTTTCCTAATAGCACCTTTAGAAATGACATGATTTTGCCATTCAACCAAAATTTGTAAAAATAAATTGCCTCTCAGTTTCTTTTTTTGGCTGGGGGAGGGGGGGAGACTAAAAAAAAATTAGACAAATTTACAGTTCTGCCATGCCAGTAACCGTCCTTGATGAGGCATGAAGACTAAGCCCACAGTAAAGAAGGGCAAATGGAAAAAGAAGCACCACTCTGCCCACTGCATGTAACATGATCACCCGGATCACGTGGCTGTTCCATGAGTCTCTCTGCTACAAAACCGGTCAGTTTGAGAAAACTGGTTGCAAGAGTCCCACTTGGCAAATGAAATGAAAACTCTAAAGCACCCTAACTGCAGTCAAGGGCGGAGGGGAGAGGAACAGGACACACAGGAACCCTCTCACATACCACCCCTTCTGCGTCTGCATGCTCGGTCCCCGAGTCATGTCTGACTTTTCAACCCCACGCGCTGTAGCCCGCCAGGCTCTGCTGACCATCAGATTATCCCAGGAAGGACCCTGGAGTGGGCTGCCATGCCCTCCTCCAGGGGATCTTCCTGATCCAAGAATCGAAGCCTAGTCTCTCCCGTCTCCCGCGCTGGCAGGAGGATTCTTTACCACTAGCGCCACCCGGGAAGCCCACTACTGCTTCTGCCAACCAGCCATCAGGCTGCACAGTTGAAGAGGTAAACTGCAACAGCCTCATCATTAAAGCAAGACCAAACTGTCAAAAGCCTGAAAGCATGGTGGGGTGCTTTAATTTCAAAATCAGGATACTCTACACACTGCACATTCACTGAGACAAAAACAATGCTGAAAATTCAGTGAGACACGTTAGCAGGTCGTCTAGGAATTTTTTTTCGTAGTCATATGCAATTGCCCTGATAATTTTAACAAGGACAAAAAATGATCTCAGACAAGTATCCAAGAACTGATGTGAAAGCAGGAGAGACATACGCACTTCTTGACTTCAACATGGAAGAACAGGCTCTGGGGAGGGGGTGCAGGTGTATATGAGCATGTGGGTGGCTGGGTGTTGGTGTTAAAGACGAGGATGAGAAAAGAAAAGAGGAAAAGCTAATACCCACCTCGCTTTCAGATGTTACCAAGTCATTCCTCCCTTGCGAGCAAATTTTAACAAAGTGTGACAGAGAATCGGTGGGTTGTGGCTAGAAAGCAGGGTGCTCAGAGAGTTCCTAATCTCACCATCCTTTCCCTAAAGCAGGAATGTGTTTTCCCCCCAAAACTGCAACCTACACCTTCAGACAGCAAAGAAAGTGGTAGGAAAAATTACTCCCAAAATATCAGAGAGTAATTACAGTGAGAGTTTTTAAATAATTTTTAATGAGTTATTCACCCCCGCGGGAGAGTCTCTTACTTTTTTCCTGTACATACAGGTAGCCTTCCGCTGTGAACTGACTTGCTCGTTTGTGGTCCTTGGGATTCTGTCTGATCTTGTTCATAAGTTCTTCCACTTCTGACCTTGTTCCTTCAAAACGATTCCGTGTCTGAAATGGATTTAAAAAACACATATAAATTTTAAATTCATTTTTAAGTCATTTTAAGTACATTTTCAACTCTCTGGATAGCTATAATTAAATTTGCAGCATTTTTCTACCAATTTCTCAAAACACGTCCATTCTTTCCATTGTCTCTTCTTTGTTGAAATTATTGTGCAAAGAAACAAATTAGTGATTAAGAAGTTAATAGACATATAGAAACAAAGGTAACTAGAGGTTATTTATTTTGAAGATTTCTAACACCAAGAATAATTCCATTATTCAACATAAGAATTCATGCCTGCATGTCTCACCATATTATTAAATCTTAGGTTTAAAAATATATATATAGTCCATAAAAGGAAGTCTTTTCTTTGCAACAATCAATCTGACTCATTACCAGCAATATATCTTAAGTATTCAGAATCTGAAAAACTTAATTCTACTTTGCAAACTACTAAAACTCAGTGTCATTTTTCCCAGGCCGTGATAATTGCACTTGAAAATGACATTTCTTCACAGAATAAAGAAGGGGGGGTGGAATCTCACCTACGAATAATGTCTTTGATATCTAAAGAGACAAATCACATTTCTGAAGCCCTGGAGACGGGATGTCAATATCTCTGTCAAACGGCTAGACTGCAAACGGACATGGAAGGTGAAGTGACAAAATCACCCAGGCAAACCTGACGAGTCAGCACCACCAAGTTTCCGGACATTTCTTTCATCTGCACTCAAAAATAATTGTATTAATACCGAAAAACTGCTGATGTGAAACTGTGGAGGAGCTGAGATGAAAAATTATTATTGAAATTCCTCCTCTCTCCTCCCTACAATGAAAGGGGTTACCAAGGGTTCTAAATGCAAAAAAATGATAGAATGGTCCATTTTTAGAGGGGGACAGAAAGTCTTATAAATGAAGATTGTAAAGGGGAAACAACCACAGAGGCTTATTTTAAACACAAGCTGGGAGGTTGTTTTTAATTCATTTATGTACTCTAAAAACGTACGGGGCTGCAGAGAGGGTGGGACTCATTTGCTGATGGCCATCTCTTGCCTTCCCATTTCTTATGCTCTGGGACTTTCTGTCCACATCTTAAAGCTAATTATACCCTAATTTTAGTCACCTCCTTTGTCACTTTACAGAAATTCTCCCCATCTCTCGCTTCTTCCCAACTCTGTGTGTCTCATATTTATACACAGGCACACATATATTGCATGCTATATATATACAAATGCTAGCACACACACACTGCTATTAACCTAACGAGTTACATCCAAAACTCTCATTACTTAAGTTAGTGCTCAAACTGTCCTAGATCTGACCGGCAGGGGCCCCTTCTAGCTGACTCCTGTTTCATTTTCCTGTGTGCTATGCTCAGTCACGTCCAACTCTGTGACCCCATGGACTGTAGCCCGCCAGGCTCCTCTGTCCATGGGGATTCTGCAGGCAAGAATATTGGAGTGGGTTGTCAAGTCCTACTCCAGGGGATCTTCCTGACCCAGGAATCGAACTCACGTCTCTGGCATCTCCTGCATTGGCAGGCAGATTCTTTACTACTGGGAAGCGCCCTTTCCATCTCGGCACATTTCTTTTCAGACAATAAGAAACCTGGCTCTCATTATTCCCAATACATTTACTTATTTGCTCAACAAACATATCCACCTGATGTAACCAATCTTCTCAATCTTCTAACCCCCTCCTCTGCATTCTGCCTCTGTACCCTCCCCCCCTCACTGCCCTCCTGCCTCAGAGGCTTGTGACTCTGCACCTGGAAGGGGAAAGTTTAGCTATATTTTTAACGTACCATTTTAGGTAAATTATTAATGAGGGCAAAAATTACATTTTTAAAAATCGGAGCCCAAATAATAGAATGGCTGGGCTTCCCTGAAGGTTCAATGGGAAAGAACCCACCTGCCAATGCCGGAGAGGTGGGTTCGACTCCTGGGTCAGGAAGATCCCCTGGAGAAGGAAGTGGCACCCCACTCCGATACTCTAGCCTGGGAAATCCCATGGACAGAGAAGCCAGGTGGGCTACAGTCCATGGGGTTTTGAAAGAGCTGGACACAAATTAGCAACTAAACAACAATATCAGAATAGTGACTAGAATCTAGCAATTTCTGGTTCTAAATTCCAGGTGTATAGGAAGAGATCATCAAATAATAATAATGTTAGACTGTAACTGTTACTAGGTCACATGAGAGGGTTTACACTGTGATTTTGGTTGTTCAGTTCCGAGTCATTTCCAACTCTCTGCGGCCCACTGAACCACAGCACACCAGGCTTTGAAATCAGTTTACAGTGCTTTAATCCTCACAATAACCTATGAGATAGTCTAGTATCTCTAATACTTATAAAACACCAATTGCTGTATTTCCTTTCCTTGCATGCTTTGGTTTAAAAAAAAAAAAAAAAACACATTTCCAAACCGATAAGTCTTAAGTCTCATAATAAATATATTACTACACTGGGGGGAAGAGGATTCAGTCTAAGCAGGAATTCAAATATATCAGAATATTTATAAAACTGGCAGACCAGGCTTAGCTCAGAGGAGGGGAGAGAAAACACTGTTCACAGCAAGTTTTACCCAGAAATAAAGATTAATAGGCAGACAGCCAGATGGCACTAGTGGTAAAGAATTCGCCTGCCAATGCAGGAGATATAGGAAACTCAGGTTCAATCCCTGGGTCGGAAAGAATTACTTTACAATTTACTTTACTAATTACTTTAAAATATTGTAGTGGTTTTTGCCATACATTGACATGAATCAGCCATGGATTTACATGTGTTCCCCATCCCAATCCCCCCCTCCCGCCTCCTTCCCCATCCCATCCCTCTGGGTCTTCCCAGTGCACCAGCCCTGAGCACTTGTCTCATGCATCCAACCTGGGCTGGCGATCTGTTTCACACTTGATAGTATACTTATTTCAATGCTGTTCTCTCTGAACATCCCACCCTCGCCTTCTCCCACAGAGTCCAAAAGTCTGTTCTGTACATCTGTGTCTCTTTTTCTGTTTTGCATATAGGGTTATCGTTACCATCTTTCTAAATTCCATATATATGTGTTAGTATACTGTAATGGTCTTTATCTTTCTGGCTTACTTCACTCTGTATAATGGGCTCCAGTTTCATCCATCTCATTAGAACTGATTCAAATGAATTCTTTTTAATGGCTGAGTAATATTCCATGGTGTATATGTACCACAGCTTCCTCATCCATTCGTCTGCTGATGGGCATCTGGGTTGCTTCCATGTCCTGGCTATTATAAACAGTGCTGCGATGAACATTGGGGTGCACGTGTCTCTTTCAGATCTGGTTTCCTTGGTGTGTATGCCCAGAAGTGGGATTGCTGGGTCATATGGCAGTTCTATTTCCAGCTTTTTAAGAAATCTCCACACTGTTTTCCATAGTGGCTGTACTAATTTGCATTCCCACCAACAGTGTAAGAGGGTTCCCTTTTCTCCACACCCTCTCCAGCATTTATTGCTTGTAGACTTTTGGATAGCAGCCATCCTGACTGGCGTGTAATGGTACCTCATTGTGGTTTTGATTTGCATTTCTCTGATAATGAGTGATGTTGAGCATCTTTTCATGTGTTTGTTAGCCATCTGTATGTCTTCCTTGGAGAAATGTCTGTTTAGTTCTTTGGCCCATTTTTTGATTGGGTCATTTATTTTTCTGGAGTTGAGCTGGAGGAGTTGCTTGTATATTTTTGAGATTAATCCTTTGTCTGTTGCTTCGTTTGCTATTATTTTCTCCCAATCTGAGGGCTGTCTTTTCACCTTGCTTATAGTTTCCTTTGTTGTGCAAAAGCTTTTAAGTTTCATTAGGTCCCATTTGTTTATTTTTGCTTTTATTTCTAAAATTCTGGGATGTGGGTCATAGAGGATCCTGCTGTGATTTATGTCGGAGAGTGTTTTGCCTATGTTCTCCTCTAGGAGTTTTATAGTTTCTGGTCTTACATTTAGATCTTTAATCCATTTTGAGTTTATTTTTGTGTATGGTGTTAGAAAGTGTTCTAGTTTCATTCTTTTACAAGTGGTTGACCAGTTTTCCCAGCACCACTTGTTAAAGAGGTTGTCTTCTTTCCATTGTATATCCTCGCATCCTTTGTCGAAGATAAGGTGTCATGTGGTCTTAAACAGCCAACACGTCCCCTTCAGGCTGGCCTCATCGGGGGATGGGACAAACGGCCAAGGACAGGGTACCTTCCTGAGGCACCGCAGGTGAGATGGACAGACCGGCATGCGTGTCCGGGGCGCTGGGCCTGCTGAAGGGGAACGAGTGAGCCAGAAGCACAAGCGCAGAGGCTCCGGGCGGGCGTCTCCACGCGTAGGTGAGGCGGAGGCAGAGCGGCCGAAGGAGCCGGCACAGAAGGCGGGGGAGGACTCACGGGCACGGGGACCACTCGGCAGCTTGCTGAGGATGAGCCTGACGCTCCGGGACACGGGAAAGGCTTCTCAGTGACTTCTCTGCCCATCCCTTTGTGGGAAATTAAGCTTACCAACCATGTGCGCTAAGTTCTAAGCAGACTAAGGCTATAAGCCAGGTGAACATTTCAAGCGGCAGCCTGTCTTCAGGCTTTGCTTACAAGAGTTCACGTCCGAGTATTGTTCCTTCCCACTGCAATCCTGACTCTCTCAAACTCTCCTGGTGTATGTAAGGTAGTCCGTGGGGTCGCAAGACATTGCTTAGCGCCTACACGGCAACAAGGTTAGCCCCCGGGCCCCGGGGGTCCACGTCAGCGGGCCACGCAGGGACGGTCCCCCTGGAGTCCCCAGGAGACGCTGACGTGTCCCCGCACGTCGCCCGGACCCGGCGGGCCAGCAGTTCCGCAGGCACGTAGCCTGAGCGGTCCCCGGCCCACATGCAGACGGCTGTGCGCGGGACTTCATGCTCTCCCGTGCCTGCCTTCACGTTCTTCACTCTTGAATAAGGGGCCCTGCCTCCTCATTTTACACAAATTATGGGTTGGTTCTGCCTGAAGGTTCTCATCCAGACCTGCCCTGCCCTTGACAGGTGAGCTACAGACAAGTTACACAGTCAGGTGGTGGAGGAAAAACAAACCCCCCGCCCAAGAAAAATATCAAGATAATAACCTCATCTTCTAAACTAACTCTGGAACACGGCTTTTACAACACTGTGTTTCGCTGTCTGCAGAAGTCTTCCAATACATCACAGCGTCATTAGACTAAATGTTCTACGGACAGAGACAGCTTTGAAGTTAGGACTAACCCACACATAGACACTGTGACATATTTTTAAACTGTGTTATGTTATGTCACTGATATTGGGGCGAGGCGGGGGGGGGGGGGGGGGGGGGGGGTGAAGGGAGGAATCGACTTTACTTCATATGACTCAGCAGAATGTAACAATCTTAAAATCAAACTGACACATGAATTACAAAACATGAGAGGTTTCATTATCTGTATTCCCAACTGTAGGAAACTATACCAAAATAACTTAGAAACAAGATCTACACAAAAACCCCTCATTCTCAATTTCTAAGATCCTAAGAAGTTGAAGGTCAGGTAGCAAACAGTACAGAGATTCCTATCTTTCTCCTGGTATGTCTTCCAGGATGAGCTAGGAGTTTGTCCCAAAACTCACTCACTATATTCTCAACCATGTTTGAAATTATACTAAACATAACTTGAACAGCTTTTCAAGGAGGAGACTTCCAACTCCCAAAATCAACTAAAGTTTTGAAATGAAAAACATCTACCAACTTCTGATCAAAATCACACGTTATACTGTTTAAAAGATTACGCTGTGCTGTGCTAAGTCGTTTGAATCGTGTCCAACTCTGCAACCCTGTGAACTGTAGCCCACCGGACTCCTCTGTCCATGAGATTCTCCAGGCAAGAATACTGGAGTGGGTTGTCGTGCCCTCCTCCGGGGGATCTTCCTAACCCAGGGATCAAGCCCAAGTCTCTTAAGTCTCCTGCACTGGCAGTCAGGCTCCTTACCACTGGTGCCACCTGGGAAGCCTGTTTAACAGATTAGGTTCTTTAAAAGTCTCTATTCAAGACTTAACAGAAAGTATACGTCTTCCACGAGAACAATAAAGGACCAATATTCAATGAACACCAATATATTAGTGAATATGCACAAAAGACGGGAAAGAAATTCCACTGGAACTGTGAGCCTATGTGGGAATAAAAGTCAAATAAGTCATACAAGGAAGAGAAGAAATTTAGATTACAATTGAAATGCCTTAAATCGAAACTGAAAGGCTGTTTTGTCTCTCATACAGATCAAACTTAGAATTACACAACAAAAGTTATGCTTAGAACCATCTTACAAAGTGTAGAATGACTAGGTCACATCACCATATGACATGTTTCAAAGTTGCTAAGAGAGAAGGCATTCAATGTTATCGTCACAAGGGGAAAAAAATTTAACTACAGGAGGTGACTGATGTTAACTAAAGTGGAAATCATCTTACAGTTAGTAAGTTGTCAAGCTGTTCTGCTTACACAGTGTTGTGTGTCAATTATATCTCAAGAAAATTTGGGGAAAATTAAGCAAATTATGTGAAATTTTATTGTAACAACATCATGACTTTTTGGAAAATAAGAAAAATAAATTATAGAAAATGAATTCGTCTTTTAAAAAAAAGCAGCCGCCAGGGGGCAGTGTCCTGAGCCTCCATGAGTTGGCAAGCAGCTGCTATACTGAGAACTGACCGGAAGGTGGCAGCGTAGCCTCAGTTTCCAGGTACCAACACATCAGCCTGCTCTTAAGGCTTTACATACACCAAAGAAATCAAAACTACTTCTCAAACGTCTTTTTTTAAAAAGAGAGAACTTTCATTTCCTTACATTCTGAATGTTGATCTGCAGTTCCATTTTGTAGTGATTGAAGTCTTTGGCAAGTTCATGGCCCTGATGATAGAAAGTAAACATTCCCTGAAAAAATGACAGCATCTGAAACAAAGCAGAAAAGGCAACATTAGCGTGCACACACACAAAACCCTCAGGGAAAAAAATAAAACAGCCACGTTTCCCCACATCCCATTATGATTCTATTAATGTAAAATAATTCAAAGGAAGTCACTAGAATTCAACTAAATCTAACTGCATTTTATTCATTAATTGCTCCCTATTTAAAAAAGAATGAAGGATCTGCTATTTTCCCCTCAATAGCAGAGCCATTATAGTATGCTATAAAGAAGAAATGGAATTCTCCATCACCCATTTGTCCTTTTTCTTAAAAAAAAAAAAATTTATTTGTGGCCACACTGGTTCTTCGTGGCTGCGGGGGCATCTCTGGTTGCGATGAGTGTGGACGGCTCTCTGGCTGTGGGCTGCGGGCTTCTCTCGTCCCGGGCACAGGCTGAGTGCGCGGGCTTCAGCAGCAGCAGCACGTGGGCTCAGTCGTCGCGGGCCCCGGGCTCTGGAGCACGGGCTCAACAGTTGTGGCCCGCGGGCTTCACTGCTCCACGGCGTGCAGGATCTTCCCAGACCAGGGATCGAACCCGGGTCTCCTGCATTAGCAGGTGCATTCTTGAGCGCTGAGCCATCAGAGAAGCCCCCATTTGTCCTTTTTAGTCAAGAGAATCCCTACATTCATTTAAAATGAAACCTCATCACTACAGGCCGACAGAACCCAAAAGGAAAGTGAAATACAGATCAGAGTTAAAAGCACTTTCAAAGGGCACCCAGTGTGGGGCACCCTCGCTTTCGTTGACAAAGATGCTCCGTGACTGAGGCAGAGAGGCAGAGGGAGGGCAGTAATCAAACCCCGAGCTTCCTACAAACTCCCCCAGCCTCTCGACCAGAGGGCAGCCACCTCTGCTCCACATGTGAGCAAATCTACAGTGAGAATGACCTCAGGTGAGAGTTCAGGAAATGCTGGAATCCACTGTCTTCAGAATGTCACATTGTGTAGTGCTGAGGAATTTGGGACCCTGACGTTCAGTGGCTGGCAGAGGTCAATTCCCCAGCGGGGCCAACTACTGACGTTTCTCTACTTCAGTGTCTACATCCCCTAAGTGGCATAATTAAAATATCTCCTTAATAGAGTGCTGTGCGGAATCCATGCATGATCACAGAAAATGACCTAAACGACGACAGAGCACTGTAAATGTTCACCAAAAAAAAAGTAGGCTGTTATGATTTCTCATAAAAAGAAAGCTTGAAGGAGGTGCTCGGTTTAACTTAGGGTAATTCCATTACTCCACTGGACCATCACTTCCACCAATGCTAATTTTTCATTAACAATTACTTGGTTTTTCAGTTTGTTTCTGAATATCATACATTCAATAGATAAACTCTATGGCATGTGAATTATACCTCAGTAGTTTTTTTTTAATCACATGCACTATAGCCTATATTGAAATTAAAGTGACTCTTGAGAATCATGGATCTCAGTGTATATCTGTGTTTTTTTGCTAAAACCCACAGTATGAAATATCCTTTGTTTTGATTCAGAAGATACATATATTCATAGATACATTAACATAAAAATAAGTGAAGCTCTCAGAGTACACCTACGTAAGCACCAATAAAAATCACGTGTTTCTAAAGTAAGCGTAAAGAATGTCAGAGTAACTGACAAAGTAATTTCAAATGTTCTCCATACTGGCTCTTAATTTAGGTTACGTGAAAGTGAATGTCACTCAGTCGTATCTGATTCTTTGCGACCCCATGGACTATACAGTCCATGGAATTCTCCAAGCCAGAATACTGGAGTGGGGAGCTTTTCCCTTCTCCAGGGGATCAGATCTTCCCAACCCAGGTTTTGAACCCAGGTCTCCCGCATTGCAGGCGGATTCTTTACCAGCTGAGCCACACGGGGAGCCCAAGAACACTGAGTGGGTAGCCGATCCCTTCTCCAGGGGCTCTTCCTGACCCAGGAACTGAACCGGGGTCTTCTGCATTGCAGGCGGATTCGTTACCAACTGAGCTATTGCCTAAGCATTGTGAATTGTAGTAGAATTACCAGTCATTGTTGGAAGTACCAAGGTTTGGATGGATGCACTTGCTTTAGAAACAGACTTAAGTAGAATAAAGATTATCCCATAAACACCCCCACGCTCACTCACATTCCAATAATTTCATGGGAATTCTTGTTAAGAGTGGAGTTACAACTAGGATGGAAGAAGCTGCACCGGACTGCAGAGTCCCTGAGGCCATGTAGTAAAAGGGACAACACTCATTCCACACTGCTGTGCAAAGAAGGCTGAGGACCGCTACTCAGTGGTGGGATTTAGACTCCACAGCGACCTGGGTGCGCTGTGTACAATTTACGACATCTTGTGTCATGTTTATGCATCACGGCCTGTAGCAAGCATAACGGAGACCTTGAAAGAAACAGATTCCTGTTCTCTATCACAACGTTCGACTCACAGAGAAACCTGCTGTTTATACTTACGGGTTCCACAAACTCAAACTTCTTCCTTTCTTGGATTTCCTGAAGCTTACACACATATTCAAGAGACAGTTCATAAAAGTGTTGCCGGTTCTGTTCCACTTGGATATCTGCCTGTGTTGAAACGAAGGAGGCGGTCATATTAGAGATGGTGCAATGTGAAACTCTTTATCTGAGGTCTGCAAAGCTCCCATATGTGGGCCAAACATGGCCAGCTGCCTGTTCTCCTAAATGAGGTTGTGCTGGACACAGACGTGACCACTCCATCACGTATCTTCTATGTAGGCTGCCCTGCTACGACAGCTGAACTGAGTTGTCCCAAAAGGGGACCTCGTGGTCTTCAAAACTGTAAAATACTTAGTATCTGACTGTCTGCAGAAGTAGTTTGCCAACCCCTGCTCATCGCTGTGATGAGGCTGACCCCTAAGGACCGAACATCACGCAGTCTTGCTCTTAACGAGAAACCTATCCCAACCACAACTGACACGAGAGTTGGAACCATACACAGACTCCGAACTGCACAAACAGTGTTTCCATTAACGAACCACCTAAGAATGGAGTGGCCTGGGAAGGCGGACTGAACAGATTCCAGTCGCCACAGCACTCCTGAGTGAAAACAGCAGGTGAAGAAGTGGCAACAGCCCCACTGCAAGAACTTGGCTCCCAGGCAAGGCTGGGCTTGGTGCCCATCTGCAGGTAGTCACGCTCCTAAGCCCTCAACATGCCCATCCCTTGGAAGCAAGCAGGCAGCAGATGGCCAGGAGACTATTCCAAACAAAGGTTCTCTTGTCTAACTAGAAAGGCACTGGGAAGAGATGGCTCCACAGAGGAATGGTAGGGAAAACCCTGGCCCTCAGATCGGTTCCTATAAGGCATCATGTAGTTTTCACCTGGACATTTCTCCAAAGAGGCCACATCTAAACACATGGAAAGATGCTCAACATCACTCACCATCAGGGAAATACAAATCAAAACCACAAGGTAGCACCTCACACTTACCAAAAACAAAACAAACCTACTCCCAGAACAAAACAGAAAACAAAAAGAACTGGTGAAGATGTAGAGAAACTGGAACTTTGTACACTGCTGACGTGAACGCAAAATGATTCAGCTGCTATGGAAAACAGTATGGCAGTTCTCTAAAAAAAAAAATTAAAAATAGAATGACCATATGATCTTAACAATTCCATTTCGGGGTATACACTCACAAGAACTGCAAGCAGGGACTCAAAACAGATACTTGCTCACCCACACTGACAGCAGCTAAATGGCAGAAATAACCAAAGTGCCCACCGACAGACGAAGGGATCATCAAAATCTGGTCTACACAAATAATGGAATATTATTCAGCCTCAGACTGGAAGGAAATTCTGGCACCTGTCTCAACACGGATGAAGCCTGAGGACATTAAGATGTCAACTACATACTGGCACTTGCCGTGTTCCTCTACAAGGACTAAATCATGAGCTGCTATAGCTGCTGACCTTCAAAACCCCCTGAAAAGGAGTTCAGGGTGGAGAGCAGAAATGAAGCACTCTGTGCTCTGGGAAAAACTGGAAGGACAGGTCTTCAGATAGCTACATATTTTCAGGAGCTGATTCTTATATTGATTCTTATATATTCTTATATACATATTCTTATACTGATTCTTATATAGAGCCCAATTCTTATATCTCTTCCTATCTAGAAAAGCACTAAAATCCTTCACGGAGATGTCCGCTCCTTGTGACTAGCAGTCATCCTCACAAAACTACTGGAAACCTTCCACAAAAAAAAAAAATACATGCTTCAATGCACGCACGCCCCCTTCAACAAAATCACACACATACTGACCTTCCCTCCACCACTTTGGAGCAGTTTCTTAGAGCTATCGGAAATGCTATCTCCCAGGCTATAGTCCTCATTTTGCCCCAAATAAAACTCTCACAACTCTCAACTCACAACATAATACATTTATTTTAGTCAACAATGCTAAATGAAATGAGCCAATCACAAAAGGAGAGGTGCCACGTGATTCCTCTTCCATGAGGTACCTGGAAGAGTGAAATTCACAGAGACAGGAAGTAGAATGATGGTTAGGAGCTGGAGGGAAGAGGGCTGGGGAGTTAGTTTAACAGAAGTACAGAGTTTCAGTATCTAAGCCTTTCGGAGTTGGAACCTGGGGTGGCTGCACAACCACATGACTGTATTTGCTGACACTGAACACACTGTATCCTTGAATATAGTTAAAATCGTATCTTGCTATATTTTGGGCTTCCCCTGTGGCTCAGCTGGTAAAGAATCGCCTGCAATGCAGGAGACCCAGGTTCGACCCCTGGGTTGGGAAGATCCCCTGGACAAGGGAAAGGCTACCCTCTGGCCTGGAGTATTCCACGGACTGTACAGTCCATGGGGTCACAAAGAGTCAGACACGACTGAACGACTTTCACCTCATCTGCTGTATTTTACCACAACAAAAATTTAAGTTTGGGGGAAAAAAGGCAACAGGTAATAATTTTTTGGCATCGTATCATTTTTTAATTAATGTTTAAATATAATAAATGCTTCTTACTGTGAAATGAAATATTTTCTGCTGTATATGTAAACATGAGCCTTTCAAATATGACGAGATGGTTTGATAGCATCACCAACTCAATGGACATGAGTTTGAACAAGCTCTGGGAGATGGTGAAGGACAGGGAAGCCTGGCTTGCTGCATTCCATGGGGTTGCAAAAAGTTGGATACAGCTTAGCAACTGAACAAAAACATATATATAAGAATGGTAAATTCCTTGAGATATCTGGCTTCCCTTAATTAACAGACTGCCTCCTGCCGCTCCCACCTTGCTACAAACTTCTATATATCCTGACTCCTTTCCCCGCCTCCTCAGAGCAGTCTCTCGGGGTCACTCTGAGATGCTCTCTCCTTGCTGGAAATTCTCATAATTTCCACCAAAAAAAGAACTCTACTTTCAGATCGCGACTACTTGTCTAGTCAACATAACTAAGTCAAAATGTTTCTTATTAAGCCAAATTTTCTCCCTAATACTCATAGAAATCATTTTTTTTTTTAATGCCTCTAATGACCAGAGATTGAGCTCAGCCACCAGCAGTTAACAAGCACAACTCCCAGGAAAAACAATGCCAAGTGTGTTAAGTATTTACTAAAACGGAGCTATGGGGAATTTAAGGGTGAATCTTTCATGTTATTATTAATGGGAAATGCCTTTCAAGAAAATTTCACCTGGGTCGGATTTACCAAGGCCGTTTCCCTTTTTGAGTGGACTCTCTCCTGGCCGCGCTCCTGCATTGCTGCTCAGCTTCCATTCACAGCCTCCTGATGTTCTGAGTGTTGAGAACTGCCGTGCCAGGCAGAGAGAGACCTTATCACCAGAATCCCTGGGATTGTAGGTAACCCATCATTTACCCCACCATCACAGACATCCCGATTACACCCAGCAGCACAGTCCTTTAGCTTGACTCCGTCTAAAAGGCAATCACTATATAAGTGGTGTAAGAAGCAATGTATTTGGTCTTTGCCCCAGGGTCCTGGCACAAATCTCCTAAAACCCTTGGAATTTCCTGCCTGAGGGAAGTGTCTGCTGTCATTTGAAAGGAGCCCCGAGTGAGAACACTGCTGTTTGCGCTAATAAGGTGACTTGGGGGGCGAGGGGCGGCCCAAGGCTGCACTGATTAGAAGGTCAGAACCTTGGCTCCACCCACTGGCCTTCAGGAAGGGGAAAGCACTACAGATTAAGCTCTGTAACAACTCTTGAACAAGGGTTCGTAAGCTTCCAGGTTGGTAATGTAAAAAGCCAGTAAACAGAAAACTCAACTAAACAGAGCCTGGAGCACTCGTGGCTTCCGAGGACAACAGATCCCGAGAGAGAGAGGGAAGGGGGCTCTTCTTTCCTGCCAGGACTCAGCTCAAGAAAAGCCATGGCCTCTGTTACTAGAGCCTCCCAACTCCCCGTCCCTCCCAATCAAGGGGGGCTCCTTCACGGGTCCTGTGGGAACTTGCCCTTGGCTCACTACGGCTGCAAGGCCCCAAACGGCCTCTGTCTTCTGATCCTGAATACACCCATCTTTACTGGAGAAATATCTGACAGACTATTTATTTCAGGTCATGAGTAAATCCATCCACTTGCCTGAAGAGTGACACACCCCAGCTCCACAGGGTCAGAAGTTTCTGCACTTGGGACCCTTCTGGACCCAGTCCCGTGCACCTCTTCATCTCGGCTGCTCATCTGACTCCTCTAGATTACCTTGTATAATAAGCTGGTAAACTTAAGTAAATGTTTCCTAGTTCTGTGAGTTGCCCTAGCAAATCAACCAAACCCAAGGAAGGGGTCACAGGAACCTTTTCTTTGTTAATCAGAAGCACACCAGGACTTGGTGTTAGAAGTGGGGCGGTCTTCTTTTTTTTTTTTTTTTTTATTTTGTTTTTGTTTTGGTCTTCTTTTTTAATTGACGTATAGTTGATTTACAATGTGTTAGCTTCTGCTGTACAACAAAGTGACTTGGCTATACATATAAATTCTTTTCCATTATGGTTTATTACTGGATACTGAATAGGGCCTTGTTGTTTATCCATTCTATATATAATAGTTTGCATCTGCCAGTCATTAGCAGGGCAATCTTGTAGAACTGAGCCCTTAGCCTGCAGGATCTGATGCTATTTCCAGGTAGTGCCAGAACTGAGTTCACTGCTTGGTGGCATTCAAAAATACACAACTGGACTATACTTTATACCAAGCAAAAGTCATTTTTTTAAACATATAACTTCAAATTGATTATCAATTTCACTTCTGACCATGCCTGCTGTAAATATGCATACAGGAATAGATCACTCACACAAAGATCTTCAAGGGATCTATTTCTCTGGCCATACTTATGGAAATATAATTATTTGACTACTCAGCATCAACTGGAAAAAAAAAATGCACAACATGAGAGCTGTGAGTCAAGTTTTATTGGGGGCACAACGCAGAATATAGTCTGGGAGCAGGTCCTCAGAGGTTGACTAGTGAATTTAATCTGTAGAGGCAGATGGCAGGTGCTAATTTTTAGCTGCCATAGGGAAACAAAAATATACTTCAAATATCAGCAGTCGTAGAATTTTCTCAAATATCCGATTACTGTTCTAGTACAAATATTAGTATTGGGAATTGGGGGTGTGATGGGGGCAGAAGCTAATGTGTCCGTTCAATACAGAGTGAAAGGTAAAGGTCCTAATAGAATTACCAAAATTGCCAGCCTGCTGTCTACCACAATTTTCTCCTGTGATTTTCACTGGAAACCAGAGGAAAGAAGAGCTGATAACAAGGACATACACCTTTGTTCAGTACCACTCTCAGCAACCTTTATTAATCTCTCAAGCACCTCAACTCAATTTACAAAAGATCAGCAATGCATTAGCCACTGCCAGAAGTGGCCAAAGCCACATCTAACCTTCTTTCCTTTAAGGAGCATCCCCATCCTTAAGGCATTCACTCTTGCAACAGAAAGCTCGGTCAAGTGGGGTTCTGTATATTTGTAAAGAGTACACAGATCAAGACAGGAAAGAAAATGCAATTTTTTTAAATCTTTTGGTCATGCCACTTGGCATGTGGGATCTTAGATACCCAACCAGGGATGGAACCCATGCCCCCTGCATTGAGAGCATAGAGTCTTTTAACCATGGACCACCAGAGAAGACCCAGGAATATATAACTTAAATGAAAACTAAAATGATTCATCTTGAGGGTCTCTTCAAATTTGCACCCTAATGTTTAATTATCTTTGGAAATGATGAAATTGTTGAAGGTCTAGCTCATAATCTTCACACTTGTTCATTCCATAAATATTTATTAGTGCCTGCTCCCTGACAGGTCTTATTCTAGGCACTGTGGACAGGGTGCTGAAGAGAACGATGCTGCTGCCTGCAAGGAGCAGACATCCTACGGAGAGAAGCCGTGAAACCGCCGAGTATATACTGTACACTGCGTGTGCTCAGTCGTGTCCAATCCTGTAGCCCCACGGACTGTAGCCCACCAGGCTCCTCGGCCCATGGGGTTTTCATGGCAAGGATAACAGAGCTGGTCGCCACTTCCTGCTCCAGGGGACCGTCCTGACCGAGGGATCGAGCCTGTCTCTTGTGCCTCCTGCATTTCCAGGCGGATTCTTTATGACTGCACCACCTGGAAAGACCACCTCTGAATATGTAATGAGTCAAATGGTTGTAAGAGCAAAAAAAAAAGGCAGAGTAAGGAAGGCACCCTAAATAAGATCAAGCATCTCCACCCGGGGGAAGTCTGAGAGCAGACCATCTGGAAGACTATCTGCAGGAGTGAGTCACGCGGATCTGGCAGAGGAGGAACACCAAGGCCCTCAGCCATGGAGCCACGCCAGGATGGGGCCGCCATGTGGGGTGNGCCCTCAGCCATGGAGCCACGCCAGGATGGGGCCGCCTGTGGGGTGGGAGAAGGCGGAGTGGACTGGGGGCCTCTGAAGGGAGCCTCTCGGAGCATCTGGAGGAGAAGAACAACACAAAGGCTGGCTCCGCTGCCATACAGAAAAAAGCCGCAGGAGGACTTCCCTCGCGGTCCAGCGGCTGAGAGTCCGTGTTCCCAGTGCAGGGGACATGGGTTCGATCCCCGTGTCATGACACAGGGTGACAGGCATGCACGTACGCATGGAAAAAAGAGTGAAAGTGTTAGTCACTCAGTCATGTCTGACTCCTTGAGACCCCAGGACTGTAGCCCACCCAGGCTCCTCTGTCCATGGGATTTCCCAGGCAAGAATACTGGACTGGGGAGCCATTCCCTTCTGCAGGGGATCTTCAAGACCCAGGGATCCAACCCGGGTCTCCTGCACTGGAGGCAGATTCTTTACAGTCCTCACCATGGGAAAGCTGCGTGCACACATGCATAAATGAATGAAAATAATTTGAAAAAGAAAATAAACTGCAGGGATCCCTGAGTAAAAAGCAGGGAGGCTTCTGTAGCCATCTGTGTGAGAAACGCCCAGCACTTGGGCCAGGGTGACAGGATTGCAGGCTAGGAGAACTGGTCACATTCTGAGAATATCCTAACGTCGAAGAAGACCTAGGCTGAGGGTCTAGACGGGCTGAGAGAGAGAGGGCCAAGGATGACGCTACAGACTTTGCCCTAGCAACAGGCAGAATGATATCTAATTAGAGAGTGAGATGGAGATGGAAATTGACTCAGGGCATGGAAATCCCATCAGGATACCTGGCAACAGAGATCAGGTAGAACAGGAAGTGGGAAACTGCCGACATAAAGAGAGCCTGGGCTGCTGTCGCTCCAANAGATGGAAATTGACTCAGGGCATGGAAATCCCATCAGGATACCTGGCAACAGAGATCAGGTAGAACAGGAAGTGGGAAACTGCCGACATAAAGAGAGCCTGGGCTGCTGTCGCTCCAAAACTGACAGGAGGAGCAGCTGACGGAGCACATCTAACACTGCAGGGCTTTCTGCACAATATGGGGAAGGAGAGAATGCAGCCCTGCCTTCGGACAGTATTGTACTCAGGATTAGGTGGTACAAAAGGGCCTTTCTCTTTTACAGACCATCAAACACCACGTAAACATCAGCCAATCACGTTAGACAGACAAAAGAAGATGTGCCATGTGGTTAATGCCAAAATAACCACACACATACACACAGAGTCTGCAACTAAATCTGTAACATTTAAACACAACCCAGGTTTACTCTACAACATTGTCATTTTGATGATACTTCACTAAGTGTATATTATAGTGGTACATTACTCCTGGATCCCTTATGTGTTTAAAAATAAACAAATACACGGGGAAGAAGTCACACTTCTGTGGGATGAATCAAAATCTTTACAATTGAAAATAGCATTATGTTTAAGGAAAGCAAATGTTCCAAATTGTAAACAACTGAGTTTCCATTCAAGGGTGTGAGTGAGGAAAAACAAGTGGCAGGGAATTTAGAAAGAAAACAGAAAGAGAAAAACGAGAGAGAAGATATAAATTCCTTTCTCCTTACATACGGCTCCCTCCAAAAGAAACAAGTCTATTAACACAAGTAAAACAGATGCTCTCTTTCCAAGGAAGCTGAAAAACTCCTGAATCTTCAGCATTAGGTAAGATTAATGCTGCCTTCACATAAAAGCCAAATGGTATAGGAGCTTATTCAATTCACTTTTACAACACATCTTGAAAGTTAATTAACAATCTATTCCTGAAAATAATATATCTATCCTCAGTTATGCTAGTTAAAATGGTTGTTCCTGGGAAAATACACTCAGAACCAAAACTTCTAATATTCTGAACCCACACTGCATTCATCACTCTATAAGGTCTTATTTTGTCTTATTCCAAAAGAGCTTTTTTTTTTTAAATTCATGGCGATACCTAATCATTTTTTCCATCTCTAATAAACCTAGATAAAACATTTTCAAAAGAAAAGCTCATTTAAAAAGAGACATGCACTGATTATTAAATTTTACAAACAAGTTAAAAGAAAAATAAAAACAATACCTCTTGCAAATGTGAGTCTTTCTTTTTTGCTGATAAATTCAAATGTTTATCAATTAGGCTATAGTTCCTTTCAGTCTCTTTGTCAAACTTCTTTTTTTCTTCCTACAAAAAAGAAAAACACAGACAAGTATGATTAAACAGAGGGGAAAGGCATATACACAGTCAATCGACTGGGAAGCTCAAAATGTGAAAAATATCCAAAAATAAAAGAAAGTACCATGAAGTGTGAAAAAGTTATCTGGAAAACCTATCTGCAGTCAGGCCACTATTTATTAATCATCAAGACAGCATTAGGACTGAAGAGTCACTTATCTTTTTGCTTTTTCCTTTAATGAACTTTTTACCTAGCCTGTTATTTTTAACCCCTCATACCTATCAGTGTTTGGAATTAATGCCATTCACTTGTCCATTTAAAAAAAAAATTTCGGGGCANAAAATACATGGAAAAAAATAATAAAAATTTTTTTTAAAAATTTAGGATGAAAACATAGGACCATAAAGCTTAAAAAAGCAAACTTGCTACAGATTTTGGCATAGAAATGGAATTCACGTAAAACTGAGTAAGTTTTGATCTATGCTTAAAAATTATTTATAATCGTCATTAGGAGGAGTGGGAAGAAAAACACATCTTGGGGGAAAAAAACCTTCCCTAATTGTCTAATATAAATATAACAAGAAAATCTCTGACCAGAAATGTCAACTACTTACCCAAATTTCAGCAGTGATTTCTATAACACTGTCTAGAATATTTATCAATAGGTCCACAAGGCCTGCAATTATACTGACATATTTCTACTGAGATCCTTTGGTTAACATTACAGACATTTCCCAGGCACTGCCAAGAAATAGTATTTGTTTTCCTTTTGCTAGAGTAGCTTTGAGAGAAAACAAGGAACCAATTTTTTTAATACGGTGGAGACAACCTCCCCCAAAACTGCCTGCCAACATAAGTAGATTTTTCAGAAACATTTCTGAGCACCAGTGAGCTCACATGATGTTCTCCTGGTGTCAAAATGTTTCTGTTAACTTCAAACTCTCCCCAACTCTCCAAGGCCTCCTAGAAAGGAACGTTCCCTATTTTCCAGCTTCTATTTTATAAAGTCAAAAATAATGAACTGTCCCAGCTTTTTCTGGCATCATCTTCCTATTAAGCAAAAGAGGTAAAAAAAAGCACAAAAGTTGTATTTCTCCGCATTTATTATCATTTTTTCAGCCCACGGGACACACTGGGAATGAACCTCTGCCAGCTCACCTAAAGGCTCAATTAACCCCCACACTGACGACGCAGACACAGACTCAGAACTGGTACTTCTCATTTCTACCCCAAGTTTAATTAGCAACTAGCCGCACATCTTCAAGGGCAAAAACAAAACACTGAACAATATAAAACCTTAGTTTTTCTCTTTAAAAGATGAGGGGACTTCCTTGGAGGTCCAGTGGTTAGGTAGGACTCCACACTTCCACAGCAGTGGGTGCGGCTTCCATCCCCAGTCTGGGAGCCAACACCCCACGTGGCCCACACATGCCCGTGTGTGGTGTGGCCAAAAAAAAAAAAATAATTGCCATAAAACCTAAAATATTTTTTTAAAAGTATCAGAATTCAGTTCTGTCCTAGCCATTCTTAGAGCCAATCCTAAAATTCTGTAATCCTACCATTCACCTATACATGAGAATGGTCAAACTTTCACTGAAACGGAAGCACTTTTTCTCTTTATGCCCTAGGTTTAATTTACAACTTTTTTTTTTTTTTACACTTAAGGCATTAATATTACATGGTTACTCCCTCTTTTCTGCTTTTTATGATGACGCACTTTCTGAGTGATTTTAACGACTAACAGAAAATAAACTAAATGGAACATATGGCCACTACTTTAAAAATCTCCACTATTTTTAAAAGTGCATACTGTAGTGTGTGCACTGGATTAGGTGTCAGAAGACGCAGGTTCCAGTGGCCACTATGAGCCTGTGGCTCTGCCCCCGGGGTCGCAGCCTTCTCTGAGCATCAGCTTCTCAGGCTGAAAACCAGGCAGGAATGGAGGCAACACGGCTGCACTGACCACAAGAACGTGGCAACACAACATCATGTGGTTAAAAATGCTTACTATCTTTGCAGATTAGTATTCAGAGAATACTGAAAATGTGTTTACTCCTTTGATTTCATCTGAATCACAGGAGGGGACAAAGGAAGCAACGATGCTACAGTCAGCAGTCAAAACACCCAGCACATGTGGAAATAGTGGGGTATGTAAATGAGGACGTGGGTTAAGTCTGGAATGAAAGAAAATGGTGCTATCAAGCCTCTGTGAAGAAAGAATCTAGCCAAGAAACAACATCACGCCCACCAATTTGAGTGAAAATACATTTGTTCATCTTTGGTATGATACTATACAAATGTTGCTGTGTTTTCTTTCTGAATGTTAAGACTCAAATAATTGTCTCTCCTTGCATTTTTTTCTCAGCGTCACTATAGAATATTCTGTTTTTTTGTACTCATGTGACTTTGGGCACTTAATTATGAATTTTAAAAGGGGCTGTGTTCAACTAGCATTCAATAAAGAACAGAATTTTTTCTTCAACTTTGCAACATAGGATGCACATAACACATATGGATTTATACATATATATGTACATGTATATATATATATACACACACACACATATACACACACACAAATATAAAATAAATTTGCCATAAAAGGGAACAAAATTGAGTCAGTGGAAGTGATACAGAGTGAATAAGTCAGAAAAACAAATATTGCATATGAACACATATATCTGAAAGCTAGAAAAATAAATATTGATGAACCCATACGCAGGGCAGGAACAGAAGTGCAGACATAGAGAAAAGACCTGTGGAGACAGATGAGGCAGGAGAGAGCGGGGCACTGAAATATATACACCACCACAGGTAAAGCAGATAGCTGGTGGGAAGCTGCTGTCTGACACAGGGGCCCAGCCTGGCGCTCTGTGACGACCTGGAGGGCTGGGATGGCGGAAATGGGATGGAGGGTCTCCAGAAAGGGGATGTATGTATCCATATCGCTGATTCATGATGGTGTACAGCAGAAACAAAACACGGTAAAGCCCTCATATTCCAATAAAAAACAAAATAGAGTAATATGAGACAAAAGGCTCTACAAGGATCAAATTAATACAATGAAAACTGTTTTATGAAACAGCATTACTCAAGTGAGTCTGGGTCAAGCTGGAAGTAAACTCAGTAAGGAAAAGTGGAGGCAAGGGCTAGCCAGCCAGCCCACATCTGTGTTAGAGACAGGCAGGCAGACGTTACAGAGCCCCAGCAGACTTTTGCCATGTGGAACTATAAGCCCAGTATTAAGGCCACTCCATTCATTTTTCTGAAACAGCTGAAAGACTCAATGATTTTTAAATGGTGACAGCAAAAAAAACTTATGTTTTAGGTTTAACATGAGTCAGTTAAGTCACTCAGCCCTGTCCAACTCTTTGAGACCCCAAGGACTGCAGAACGCCAAGCTTCCCAGTCCTTCACCAACTCCCAGAGCTTGTTCAAACTCATGTCCATCAAGTCGGTAATGCCATCCAACCAGCTCATCCTCTGGCATCCCCTTCTCCTCCTGCCTTCCGTCAATCTTTCCCAGCATCAGGGTCTTTTCCAATGAGTCAGTTCTTCACATCAGGTGGCCAAAGTATTGGAGTTCCAGCTTCAATATCAGTTCTTCCAATGAATATTCAGGACTGATTTCCTTTAGGGTTGAGTGGTTGGATTTCCCTGCAGTCCAAGGGACTCTCAAGAGTCTTCTCCAACACCACAGTTCAAAAGCATCAATTCTTC